GGCGTCCCAAAGTGCTGGGATTACAGGTGTGAGCCACCGTGCCCGGCCTATCTTTTTAGTTTTATTTATTTATTTATTTATTTCTTGAGACAGAGGTATTGCTCTGTTACCCAGGCTGAGTGCAGTGGCCCCATCTTGGCTCACTGAAACCTCCTCCTCCTGGGTTTAAGCGATTCTCCTGCCTCAGCCTCCTCAGTAACTGGGATTACAGGTGCGTGCCATCATGCCTGGATACTTTTTTATTTTTAGTAGAGACAAGGTATGTCGGCCAGGCTGTCTCAAACTCCTGACCTTAAGTGATCCACTTGCCTCAGCCTCCCAAAGCTCTGGGATTACAGGTGTGAGCCACCGCACCAGGCCTCACCATCCCTTTTTAAATGCCAATTTTGCTGTGGGAAAAAGATACCAGGTAAGAGATATAACAAAGAAGTCTAGAATGAAACAGTCAGGCTTTCTTTTTTTTTTTTTTTTTTGGAGACAGAGTCTCACTCTGTCCCCCTGGCAGGAGCGCAGTGGCACAATCTCAGCTCACTGCAAGCTCCGCCTCCCGGGTTCCTGCCATTCTCCTGCCTCAGCCTCCCAAGTAGCTGGGACTACAGGCGCCCGCCACCGCGCCTGGCTAATTTTTTGTATTTTTAGTAGAGATGGGGTTTCACCATGGTCTCGATCTCCTGACCTTGTGATCCGCCCGCCTTGGCCTCCGAAAGTGCTGGGATTACAGGTGTGAGCCACCGCGCCCGGCAGGCTTTCCTTTTTTAACTTCTGCTTCCTATATTAGGTAATTTGTAGACTGGGATGGCCCTGACCAGCCCCAAGGTGCCCACCAGTCCATACTTGCGTCAAACACGTGCAGCTTCGTGTCCTGCACAGGCTGGGCACCTCTCTCTCCGCCCCCAAAGACATACAGCTGGTTTCCAATGGCTGCGGATGATGTGTGGAATGTTCTTGGGGATGGTGGGGGGCTGGTCACTTCTGGCGTGGTCCACATCTTGGTTTCTGGGCCAGAGAGAATGAAGGCACTTAAAATACCGAGGTTGAGGGGCTTCTGACCTTGACTCTGGGGCTGAGTGAAGTCAGTTTTCAAACTCCAATCCCAAGTGGGGACAGCATAGTTTTGGGCAGGGATCTCATACTCACAAACATCAAGGAAGAATGAAGATGATACTTAGGATTTGCCAAGACAGTCCAAAATCCCCAAGATTTAAAAGCCGTAAGTACAAGAATGGGGTCAGGCTGGGTGCAGTGGCTCTTGCCTGTAATCCCAGCACTTTGGGAGGCCAGGGCAGGCGGATCACTTGAGGTCAGGAGTTCAAGACCAGCCTGGCCAACATCGGGTGAAACCCCATCTCTACTAAAATTAGCCAGGCATGGTAGTGGGGACCTGTAATCCCAGCTCCACAGGAGGTTGAGGCAGAAGAATCGCTTGAACCCAGGAGGCGGAGGTTGCAGTGAGCTGAGATTGCACCACTGCACTCCAGCCTCGGCAACAGAGCGAGACTCTGTCTCAAAAAAATAAAATAAAATAAAATCACCCTCTTTGACAGAAGTTTTCCAAATTCTCACTGTATTTTATTTCAATGGATACCACTGTTGAAAATCAAAAGGCCAGGGTTCTACAACCGATTTCCCTTTGCCAAACCTTAACTACACCAACTACCACAATTATTGAGCATTAATTATGTGCCAGATACTGAGTTTATTAAAATCCTTGACAAATTAACAAGGTAGAAACTATTATTATCCAGTGTGACAGAACACAGAGGCAGAGAGAGATTAAGTCACTTGTCCAAGGTCATAGTTAGTGCCTAGCAAAGCAGAGACCCTCATCTGTGCCCTTAACCACCACATCATACTGCTACTCCTCCAAGCAAATTGGCTTCACAATTAGCCAAATGGTCTGCCAAGTGTCTATCTCTTTCTTCTTTTTTTTTTTTTTTTGAGACAGAGTCTCGCTCTGTTGCCCAGGCTGGAATGCAGTGGCCGGATCTCAGCTCACTGCAAGCTTCGCCTCCCGGGTTCACGCCATTCTCCTGCCTCAGCCTCCCGAGTAGCTGGGACTACAGGCGCCCGCCACCTCGCCCGGCTAGTTTTTTGTATTTTTTA